AAAAAAAAAAAAAAAAAAAAAAAAAAAAAAAAAAAAAAAAAAAAAAAAAACTCACACAAAGTACCCATCAATCGCTCGCACACGTAGGGTTATACCCCGGAATCGCATGGACGAGTGCACAACAAAAAAAAAAAAAAAAAAAAAACTACTACTACTACTACTACAACTACGGTTACCACTACTACTACCACTACCATTACCACACCCACTACGACTACTATTTTCCACAAGAAATCGATAATTTATGTTTGTAATTTGTCTTTAACCACAGTAATAAGTTTCCACTTGTATTTAAAGTAAAATGGGTCCATGACCAATTAATCAAAGAGTATTTATATTGAATTTTCAATGTCTGGGGATATGCTGGGCCTAGTTATAGTCGATTTTTTACAGAAAATCGATGTTTCCTATATTTAATTTGTTTATTACTTTTTTAATATTTTTCTATTGTTGTTTGCTATGGCATATAACAATAACTTATTAATAAAAGAGTATGTATGCTTAATTTTATGTGTTTGGATTTATGCTTGGCTGAGTTACAGCTAATTTTGACAGAAAATCGATATTTTGTTTTTTTTATGTGTCTATAACTTTTTAAATAATTCTTTACCTGTGTTTACAGTAATATCTAACAATAATTTACTAGTTACAGTGCTTTTACGTTTTATTTCAAGTGTCTAGGATTAAACTGTAGGCGACTATTTACATAAAATTAATATTTTCCCTATTTAACTTGTTAAAAACTCTTTTAATAGCGTTTAACTTATGTTAGTATGCGCCATAAATTAATTATCCTGGGTTGAGTTATAGCTCATTTTTCACAGGAAATCTATATTTCACCTATTTATATTACCCGTGTTTACAATAAAATGTGCCTTTAACTTATCAGTTTAAGAGTATAAATGTCATTTTTATACGCGAAGTAACTACAGCCGACAGCACCACTTTAGGCTGAAAATTTCCACTTTGTTTTGTTAATATGTTCAGTTTTGAAAATCTTTATTGTATGTGACTTAGCGCCTAGTACAGAGTTGCAGACAATTATATCACTTCAGTCGATCTGATCTCCCTTCCTTTTCGATCAGCTCTTTCTTCCTTGGGTCCTCGATCGTCAGCGTGTCAGCCCGCGCGCGGCTCGGCAGCTCCGCAGGAGCAATACGCGCGCAGAACGAAGGAGGGCGCGCGTGCCGTCATCTTGTCGGACGTTGATCGCGGGAAACGAGCCGAACAATCCGCCCGCATTGCTCCTGGAGCGACATTCTAGTTGCCGCCCGCCAAGGCGGGTCGGCCTTCTTGACCATCAGGGGGTGGCGTTGGTGGACCGGGGTTCGCTACGGGGAGCCGGGCCAGTTTGACAACCGGTCGCACGTACTCGCCAGTCGCTGTCTTCACGGTGACCGCGCGCACCAATCCATCAGGACCAGGCTGAGCGCGAATGATGCGACCTAGCGGCCAACGACCGCTCGATTGGAGGAGGGTGGCGTCCAGTAGGATGACGAAGTCACCGACGGCAAAACTTCGGCGAGCAACGGTCCACTTCGGCCTCTGCTGGAGTGTATTAAGGTACTCTCGGCTCCAGCGTGACCAGAACTGAGCCCGAATGGCTCTCACGAGGTCCCAATGCGAGAGAGCGTCCAAGTTCTCAGTGGGAGGCCTGGGCTGGATGATGGAATCGAGTGGGGCTCCAACAAGGAAGTGGCCTGGTGTAAGTACCTCGAGGTCGGAAGGGTCGCCGGAGAGCGGTGTCAAGGGCCTTCCGTTGAGCACCATCTCAATCCCAACTAGTACGGTGGAGAATTCCTCGTAGGTCAGGTGACGGGAGCCCATTACGCGTCGAAGGTGGCCTTTGACTGACTTGACGGCGGCTTCCCAGAGTCCGCCGAAATGTGGAGCTCCAGGGGGGATGAAGTGCCAAGCGATACCTTGCGAAGCGAGAGAGCCGGCAACGAGGTCCCAGTCGATCTCCGCAATTTGTAACGCCTCGCGCAGCTCCAGATCAGCGCGGCGAAAGCAAGTGGCATTGTCGCTCCAGAGTTCAGAGGGTCGACCGCGACGACCGGTGAACCGAGCGAGAGCGCCCAGGAAGGCGGCTGTGGAGAGATCACCGACGAGCTCGAGGTGTAGGGCCTTTGTCGTCATGCACACGAAGACGGCGATGTAACCCTTCGTAGTGCGTATGCCTCGTCCTTTTGACGCCAGTACTGAAAAAGGCCCGGCGTAGTCGACACCCGTGCGGCCAAAAGCGCGGGAAGGTGTGACTCGTGAAGCTGGTAAGGGGGCCATCATCTGGGTCGCGGAGCGAGCCTGGAGTCGGGAGCATACGACGCACCGCCGCAATTGAGCCTTGATTCTGCGTGGGCCACCGAGAATCCATGCACGCTTGGCCGCGTAGGCGCTAGTGACCCTGTATCCGCCGTGAAGAGCTCGAGTATGGGCCCAAGAAAGGACCAGCGAGGCGAGCGATGAGGCTCCGCTAAGGATCGGTGGATGCCGCTCTTCGTAAGGTAGCGAGGAGAAACCCAGCCGCCCGCCGACGCGCAGAACGCCGTTGGTGTCGAGGAAAGCCGCAAGAGAAGTCAAAGGGTTCCCTTTTGGCAATCGCTCGCCGTTCTGCAAACGCGCGCGCTCTTCGCCGAACGTTTCCGATTGGCTCAAACGGACGCAGGCCAGGAAGGCATCTTGAAGCTCGGCGGGGGTCAGTGGTGAGAGCACCGGCAGGACAGGTGGGCGACGCAACTGGCGCCGGACCCACCGACGAGTGCGCACGAGAACGACGAGTAGAGTGTGAAGCTTGGAATATCGTTCAAGTATGCTCGGCTCAGCCAGATGGGTGGCGTAGCAGGCCAACGGCAGGGGTGTCACCTCTTGAAGTGCTTCCTGGGGCCAGGCTCGGTCGTTGTCGGCGAGCCACGGCGGACCGTCCCACCACAGGAGTTGTTGTCTGAGACCGGACATGTCCGCGCTTCGAGTGGCCACGTCGGCTAGATTGGACTGCGACGGCACGTACCGCCAGGCGCTCGAGGGTAGCGTGTCCTGTATCTGGGCCACGTAGTTGTCGACGAGGGCGTTGTTGGTTGGCTGATCGGAGCGAACCCAGTGCAGCACAATTTGCGAGTCGCACCAGGCGTGACAGCGCTCAATCGGAACTGCTAGTTCTTCGGCCGTCGAGCGCAGAAGCTTAGCAGCCAGCAGGGCGGCGCGGAGCTCCAAGCGAGGAATGGTCATCCGGGCCACGGGCTCGGCCATTGGCTTAAGAGTGCGGATGGGCGCCAGCTTCGTGCGAGCGAGGAGAATGTGGCAGCGGACAGAACCGTCCGCGGCCTGGAGTCTAGAGTACAGGACAGCAGCCATCGCGCGGCGGCTGGCATCGGAAAATACGTGCAGGTGAATGTCCGCTGACGCGACCGTTCCGATCCAACGAGGCAGGGATAGACCGGAGATGGCTTGGAGCTCGGCGGCAAAGGCAGTCCACCTTTGAATCATGGACGACGGAGCAGACTCGTCCCAGTCCAGGTTGGCTCGCCATAAGTCTTGCAGCAGGAGTTTGGCGTTCAGCACGATCGGCGCAAGCCAACCGCATGGATCAAACAGGCCCGCGAGCGCTGCGAGCATGGTCCTCTTGGTGGTTTGGTGCTGTATGAGGGGAGGTGTTAGCAGGAAGCAATCTGACGGTGGGTCCCAGCTCACACCGAGCTCACTAACGAGACCTTCAGCGCCAAGCTGACACCAAGTGGGCCGCAGGCGCACGTCGTCGGGGAGGTCGTCCAGCAGCTCGGGCACATTGGCTACCCACTTGCGCAGAGGAAACCCGCCGGCTTGCAGAAGTTCGATTAGCTGGTCACGAATATGTCGAGCCGTGGCGATGTCGTCGGCACCGGAGAGTATGTCGTCGACGTAGCGGTCGTTCATCACCACGGGAACTGCCTCGGGCCAACGGTGTCCTTCGTCCTCGCACAGCTGCTGCACAGTGCGCAAGGAGAGGTACGGTGAGCACGAAGCGCCATAGGTGACTGTCAACAGCTGGTAGTGCGTGGGCGGTTGGTTTGGATCAGGGCTCCACAAGATACGCTGTAGGTCGACGTCACGCTTGTCAATCCAGATCTGACGAAATATCATGCGGACGTCGCTGCAGAAGGCGATTCGGTGTCGTCGCCAGCGTAGAAGCACGCTGGGGAGCGTGGTCTGCAGTGTAGGGCCTACGAAGAGGACGTCGTTTAAGCTGTAGCCGCTCGATGTCGGTTTCAAGGCGTTGAACACGACGCGAAGCCTGCGACCCTTATCGCTGCTCTGCCAGATGCCGTGATGTTGGATATAGTGCACTGGTCGGGGCGATGCCGTGCGCAGATCGTCAGGCAGTGACCTTATGTGGCCCAGAGCGATAAACTCTGCCATAAATTGCGCATACTCAGCACCCATCGCTGGGGTCCACTGGAGGCGACGATGCAACGAGTGAAGGGCGGCCTTGGCACTCTGCAGGCTGTTGCCGAGCAGCCGCACACTGTCGCTCTTCAATGGCAAACGAACGACATAGCGGCCATCCGAAACACGATGGTGATCGAGGAAAATGCGCTCGCACTCAATGTCCTCTGGAGCGCGGCGGCTGACTTGCGATACTTCCTCGAGCTCCCAAAAGCGCTGCAGCAGCGCAGCCAGCTCGCGATGCCAAGACGTTGCTCCGTCCATGTGCAGTGTTGAGCCAACAGTAAAAGCTGCCGGCTGCAGGCCAGGAGCACGGCCGACGAGGGTCCAGCCGAAGATCGTGTGCTGACCGATAATGTCGCCCCGCCGAACTTATTCCGCCCTCAATATGCGGCTGTAGACGTCGGCACCGAGGAGCAGGTCCACACGACTAAGTGTACCGAATGCGGGGTCGGCCAGAGGCTGAAGATCAAGCCACTGCTCGGCCACGGATGGGTGCAGAGGAGCGGACGGCGATACGAGCCCGAGCTGAGGTAAGCAGAGTGCCGCCATGGTGATCGGCGGCGCATCTCTGCCCGGGTCGATGTGCAGATGGGCCCGAGTTCTCGACTGGACGACCAACTCACCTCCTACTCCGGAAATGTTTGCATTGGTGTGCTCCAGCGTGGCGTTGAGCTGTCGCGCCAGGTTCGCAGAGACGATCGTGACCTCGGAGCACGCATCGAGGAGGGCTCGGACTGTCGCGCGCCGGCCGGACGGCCCACTCAGCTGGACGAGAGCGGTCGGTAGCACGGCGAGTCAGGAAGAGGGCGACGGGCCCAGGTCGTCGGCACGGGTTGCACCGACGGGGTCGGCCTTCGGCCGTTTTGGTGATGGCAGACCGTCAGATGGGTCCGATGGCCGTCGACGGCTGCTGTCGTGAAGCAGGCTGTGGTGCTGTTCTCGGAAGTGCTGACAAACAGATCGGGAGGGGCAGAACTTCAACAGGTGGCCCGTTCGGAGGCAATTAAAACATAGTCGGGCTTGGTAGACCAGGTCTCGCCGAGCGTGCGCGTCGAGGCCTTGGAATCGAGCGCAGTGCCCCAGGTAATGGGTTTCGCTGCAGGACGGGCACAGAGATAGAGCTGCGCTGGTTGCGAGGGAGCGATTATGCCGCCCAGAAGATGATGAAGCTGGTGGACGGATGCTGGGCGTGCTCGCTGGCCGCGCTGTGCGAGATGCCTCAATGGAGCTGAGAGCGCGGCACTGTCGGTGAAGGAAGTTCGTCATGGCGGCGAAAGTCGCAGTCTCCATTCCAGCCCTTGCGTCGGCGCCCTCGAGCCGCTCGAGCTCGTCCTCCCAGGCACGCCGGGTAGTTGGGTCCATGCCGGTCATGGCACAAGAGATCAGCCAGTCATCCCACTGGAGGACAGGACGGCCCAAAGCTTGCAACTGGTCCCGGTGGCGACCCAGCGTATCAAGAAGGCTCCGCAGACCTCTGGCCGACTTGTCCCTTAAAGGCCTGATGTTGCGTAGCGCCGTTAGATGGTCGTGTACTAGGAGACGGCGGTGTTCAAACCGTGCCTCGAGCGTGGCCCAAGCGGTCGAGAAGTTGGCACCCACGATCTGGATCGCGTCGAGGGCTGTTTTGGCATTTTCCTCCACGAGAGACTTTAAGTAAAACAGTCGCTCGACATCGGTGAGCTGTTGATCGTCATGCACTAGCGCTCGAAAGAGATCCCGGAAGCTCTTCCAGTCTTCTCTCTTCCCGGAGAAGGCGGGAATACTAATTCGGGGCAGGCGGGGTCCACTGTTGCCAGGGGGTGGTGCGAGGGTGCTCCTCGCGTTGTAGAGGTGGGCGCGTGACTCTATGTACTCAGCCTCCGATGTTGAGTAAATTTGGGTTAGTGACTCCTGCTTCTCGGGAGGAGGCGTCTCGATGAGCCTCAGATGATTGGCCTGAAAGTCGCTCCAGTAGCCATCTAGCAACTCAAGGCTCACTTTGACGAGGCCGGTGGTTCAGGCCGAGGGCTCAGTTTGCGTGACGGCCAGCGCGAAACGAGCGATGACGTCTGCCAGAGCGCATTGGGCGCCAAATAGGTTAGCCCAGCCTTTGTCGAACCTGAAAGAGCAATCATGAGCTTGACGGTTGCACGAAGCTGCTATTGCCGTCGGGCCGAGCCTGGCTTTGTCCTCACTTCCACAAATTAACACGTATGTGTGCGGTTATACGACGGGGAGAAGAAGAGAGAGCGAGAAAGAGAGAGACTCACACCTTATATACACACACACGCACATACGCATCCACATGTCCATGCGGGCGAGTAGACGCTTGCGTGCATCACGCATTGAAAAAGAGAGGTTAAATGCTAACCTTGATAAACCGCCCGTATTGCGTTTGCTCTAGTCATGACAAGGTATAGGTACACCCGTAAGGAAGGCAATGTGGCCGCCGCTACCGACGAAATAACCACTACCAGCGACACGGCTTCATGGCTGCCGTGGCCGTGTGTATGACAAGCGCTGGACCGGACTATGCGGTGGCCGTGGCAGCCTTGTATTCAACTTGTGACGCGGATGCTCGTGAGGCACGCGTTAATGGCGGCACGACCTCGTCGTGGCCATGATCTGGCAACGCAAGCCGGACCGCGGGCACGATGGCGGCCGCGATGCTTTAATACAACCAACACTTTGACATCAGTAATAGTATACTCACATTATGTTGTGTGCTGAATGCTCTCCTTGGTTGCTGTTTGTTTCTCACTCGCTTGGAATCCGACTCGAAGGACCAATGTTCAGTTTTGAAAATCTTTATTGTATGTGACTTAGCGCCTAGTACAGAGTTGCAGACAATTATATCACTTCAGTCGATCTGATCTCCCTCAGCTCTTTCTTCCTTGGGTCCTCGATCGTCAGCGTGTCAGCCCGCGCGCGGCTCGGCAGCTCCGCAGGAGCAGTACGCGTGCAGAACGAAGGAGGGCGCGCGTGCCGTCATCTCGTCGGACGTTAATCGCGGGAAACGAGCCGAACAATATAAAAAAATTAAAAGATTTTGAAGTGAAAGTAATATCAGAATCGTGTTTTTCGTGATGAACGTTACCTAATGAGATGTTTATTCAATTATAACTTAGTAATATAAGGTTTCTTCACCCCACTTTTGCACATTTTAGCCGCACGTTTTTGAGATAATTACCTAGCGTATGGTCTGTGATCATGCTGGATCAAGTTACAGTCGATCTTTTTTTACAGAAAATCATTATTTGGCCTATTTAATTTATTTATATTTTTAGTACTAACATTTTACTCTTGTTGGCAAGAACATTACCAACGTACTATAAAATACTCCCTCTACTAAAAATATTCAGGTGACTTTTCATGTTATTTGTCAGGTAAAAAGTCATGCCAATTTATCATATAAAAGTGTCATGTAGAATTGTCATGTGAAAGTGTCATGTGGATTTTTATAAGCTAGATCTTCGGCAATTGAAAAATAAAATAGTATAACTTGTACTTCTAACTGCTTAAAATCTGTTAAAATAGCTAATATAAACAGTAAAAACAAAAAAAAATCATCCCTTAGCTCCAGTAAAGGGACTTGGACCTGGTCCGGACCATTGTTAGTCGAGTGTCTTTCCCACTTGGCCAGAGTGGATTAGACACTTGGGACAGAATTTACGTCCTTATGAGGTACATCTCAAACTAATGTTTATTTTATCATTTCTTTATCTTTACAGATACTCGACATTCTAAGAGAAAAAAGTATATTTTTAAAAATGTTATAAATTTGTTTTAACTGCTACAACAAAGTTGTAGTTTACCTTTTCCTCTTTAATACTTTAATGTGCATGTCGAATAACAGCAGAAATGTCTTTAAAATAATGCTTTTTACAATCTCCAATTCTAGATAAGATAACATTTTCCAAATTTTGTTTGAATCTAATAGTTTTCGAAAAAATCTTATTTTATGTATAAGCTTACGTTGCAGGAATTTATATAATTTATCTGAGTACTGTACAAATAAGTGAAAAATTATTTTTTTTAGCTTATATATTCGATACGCACATAACAGTATTAAAGAGAAACAGGTAATCCACATCTTTGTTGTAGCAATTATAACAAATTTATTACTTTTTCATTAATAGACGATTTTCTTTTGGAATAAATAGTATATGTAAAGTTTAAATAAAATCCGAGAACGAAAAGTAGTTGTAAAATCAATTACTAAATTTACTGTTGACGAACGTATAAAGAGACACGAAACAATGTAAAATGTACATTTACAAAAAGTTAATTATCAATTAGGTAACTAAGGTGGTAAATGTTATTCACGAAATGATAAAATAAACATTAGTTTTAGATGTACTTCATAAGGACGTAAATTCTGTTCCAAGTTTCTAATCCATTCTGGCCAAGTGGTAAAGACACTCGACTACCAATGTTCAGGACCAGGTTCAAATCCCTTTACTGGAGCTAAGGGATGCTTTTTTTTACTATTTATATTAGCTATTCTAACAGCCCCCAGCGGAAATTTGAAAACGTAACAAAATGTTAGAAAAAGTGAACATGTGTAATAATATGCCGTAACCCGCAAGAAAATGTAAGAAAATGTAAGGAACTGTAATAGTCTCATGGATTTCGGACGTTTCTTACACTTTTTTATGTTGTGTTACGTTTTTTTACATTTTCTTACGTTTTAATATGATTTACCACATGCTGTTACACTTATACTTTTTCATAATAGTTACTCAAGTTTTTTTCATTTAAGGCAAATTTTATTCGAAAATGAAAGGAAATGTGTTTAAAAGTTATCAATGATAATAAAATATAAAAAAGTGTAATAAACTGCAAAAAACTGTAAGCTGTTATGAAACATTACAGATGACAACACTTCCTTACAGTTTATTAGAGTTTACTACAGTTGCGTTTTCACGAGATTCAAGTGTCTTTTTAGAATTATAATAAAACGTAACGAATCGTAAGACAATGTGTTGGGTTGTAGTTAACTACAATCAAACGTAACAAAACGTAACAAACTGTAACTGTGGTCTGAAATCCAACCAAACTGTACATTACATCACAGAAAGTTACGGTTTGCTACGTTTTTTCACTCTAACTTTTTCCGTTGGGGGCTTTTAAACAGTTAAAAGTACAAGTTATACTTTTTTATTTTTGAATCACCGAAAATCTAGCTTATAAAAATTTTCATGACAATTCAACATAACACTTCTATGTGGTAAGTTGGCACGACTTTTCACCGGACATGTCACCTGACAAATAACATGACA